TCACTCCGAGTTCTTCCTTGAAAGCTCCCCAGTTACAGGTCCTAGGATTACGATATGTCTTCTCACCCGAGGTTTTAGTACCCAGCTCAAACAGGATATGTCTGTGGTCGGAAAGTGACGCTTCTTGTGAGACGTGCCACTTCCCCACCAATAAACATGCCCGTTGTGTACCTAGGGTTATATCAATTACCTCCCTTCTCACAGATGTTACGAAGGTTGGTTCATTTCCAACGTTTGCAACTTCTAGTTTATTGGATGCAATAAATTCCAGAAGAGCTTCTCCTCGGTTATTAATGTCAGTGCTTCCCCATACTATATGGTAAGCATTGGCATCACACCCTAGAAGAAGTTCGATTTTGTTTTTTTCACAATGACTAACCAGTTCTCTCACCTCCTTGGTGGGGGGGAGCCCAGGTTGGTCATATGGTAGATATACGGATCCAACAATCAGATTAGTTCCTTCGTCTAGCTTTAAGGATATTGTCACTAGGTCATTTGTACAAAATTCCCATAGTGGAAACACCTTCAAGCTTTTATTTGCAATAATGCAGGTTCTTGGGTGTCCAGACGCTGAATAAATCAGGTCATAGTCCCCTGATATATGCAACCCTCTAATTCGCCCCTTTTATATAAGAGGTTCTTGGATTAGAGCAAGATCAATGTCTTGTTTTATTATACATCGTTGTAGGACAGCTGTTGCCGCCCAACAGTGATGTATATTTTCTTGGATTACCTTCATATTTTTTTTTTAAAGTTACCCCCTACTTCTTGATGTAGGGTCCTCATCCTCCTCCGGCATGTCAGCTGGGTTGGACAACGGTGAGTCCCCTAAAAGAGTCCTCTCCTCGTCTTCACCTAGCTCGCGTGCTGCGGATTCTAAGTCCCCTATTTCCATTGGAGCCTCAGTCTCTTATTCTGAAGCCCCACTTTCTTGTGGTTCTACGACCAAGGACTGATTCTCCTCTGGTATGTTATCTCCAACCTCAGTAGGTGTTTCTTTTCCCTGAGAAGTTTCAGGAGCAGCAGGAGTAGCCCGTTCCGTTTTTCCTTCAATTTCTTTTATGGAGATATTGGAGAAATTCAGGAACAGTATTCCCTCCCTCTTCTTTATCTTCTCCCAAGAGACGGAATCCATGGTTGTGAAAAGTTGCTGTCCCCTGGGGTCCAACTTCCTTCCAGTAACCCTCCAGTTCCCCGTTTGGAGCCCCGAATTTTGGATTCTCAGTCTCTTCATTATTCTTTCCGGTTCAACTGCGGGTCCCGGTATCCATGTCATGGTAAAGTTGAGTTAGATTACTTCCCCATAGTCTATGAGTTTAGCACCATCCCAAGGTACCATGCTTTTGACGGTCTGCTCAACCCAATCTCTTGTTGCTTGGACAACGCAAGAAAGGTTTAAACTCTCGTTTCTTATCCTAGCTTCGGAGAACCTGGGTGAAAGTCCTCCTTCGTCTAGTTCTTCGAGTCTGTCGAGCAGTGCAGTCCTTATTAGGTCTCCCTGCTCCGTTGTTATTGTATTATTGGGATAGTCTATTGGTACAATGGCTACCCCAATATTGCTTACTTTAGAGGCGTAAGAACACGATGCTACCGGCTCAGTCCCATCCGGCCCCACATTTGATGTGGTACCAGTTGGTCCCGAACCCGCAGCTTTCGCATCCTTAGCTCTTTTGGTTTTTCTTTTTTCCGGCGTGCTGGTATCGGACCGGTTTCTCTTTTGAGCCCCGCTTCGTCCCTGCTCGCTGGACACAGCCTTAGCTATGTTTTTTGGTTTTGCCATCTCTGAGGTACTAGGACTCGCGTTTTGTTCCATCTCTGTAGAGAAAGGACGAGACGCTTGCCCTCGTTCCCCTGGTCCAGTATTCGTTGGTCGGGTGTTTTTTTTTTGTTTTGCCATCCCTGAGGTACTAGGACTCGCCTTCCGTCCCATCTCCGTAGAGATAGAGCCAGATGCTTGCCCCCGTACCCCTGGTCCAGCATTCACTGGCATAGTGGTCCGCCCTGTGCCGGAAGAACTAGGTCCAGCCTCACTCCCCATATCTTATGATGCGGAGGATGTGCCGCCCTGTCCCTTCTGCTCTGAGGTCCCACTAGTGCCGGTGTTTTGTCGGAGCTTCTTCTGCTTTCGTCTGAAAGCTCCGGATTTTTTTTTGTATTTTTTGTTGTTATCCTTATTTTCCATATAAGTCCCACGAGTAGCTAGGGAAAGATTCGTCACTCCTGACAGAGCTTCGCATTATCAGGAGAAGGCTACTTAGTTGGGGGTGTTGCCCGGTGCCCCCAAGGGAACGTTCGATGTCGCATATACCCCTGCGACAATTCACCCATCGGCACGTTGCCTTACACCTTAGATTGGGGGAGTTGGTTCGCGGGGGTAGACTTCGCAAAAGATTTTGAGAGTTTTTAGGCTCTCTCACTATACTTATACACTAACCAAGATATCCTGGCCGTCCTCTCATCCACCACCTGGAGACGTGCTCAGTTGGCACTCAACCGCTGAGAATCTGCATGCTACACTAACAAACACAAATTCAAGAAAATATTATCTACTGATCGCCCCCGACAACACGGCTATTGTATGCATTAGTTACAATTGGCGTTGACAATTGAAATTCGAAATTAGCGCGCATCCCCTCTTCAGACAAATTAGGTTGCAATGCCTGTATATGCCTGAGATGAGTTTTGGTAAAATAACAAAATAATACACAAAATCATAAACGAAAAAAAAAATTAATATAAAAGTGAAACGGCAAACAGTTTCGGCTAATTCGCCATCATTAGGCCTACAAAAAAAATGGTCTTCAATAGAGGCTTATAAAAGTAAAGAATAAAAGCCTACTTTATAAGTATTTATGTAAAAAAAAAGAAAATTCGGAAATTAAATTAAAACATTTCGACGCCAAGGGTAGGAATAGTAGGGAGGTATATGACGGGAAAAAGGATAAATTAAATGAGAATAGGGATTAAGGTAGGTGGCGCATGAAGCGCGACTTTGGACAGAAAGTGGATGGTAGACTCCTAATTCTCGCAAAGGGGTACTAAGCTGGTAAGAGAGAAGAGTAGGTAGCTTTTACAACAATCAAAGCAGTACAACTGCGGGCGACAAAACATTCTAGGCGAACAGAAAAGGAACGGTCTAGTGTGGAGGAGCTAATCAGTTTAGGTGAAGGGACATACTGCGAGTAAACATACTGGCAGCCAGGGATAATATTTTGAAGAACAAGAAGGCATAAGGAAATAAAGGGCGCCATTTCCAGGAAACGATCTTAGAAGGAAAGGAAATTCCCATTATAACACTCAATACTATACAAATTACTGGTAAGTAAATGTTGCAGGTAGTCAACTACGTATCAAAAGTAAAATTGAGCTATAACTAGACTCTTAAAATTACTACCTAACCGTTCACTAATGATATACAAAAATGTTTTTTGTTAATGCAATTTACTTATAAACGTTTTAAATATCATAACATTCTGATGATTTCCAATATTTACGTTATCATAAAAATGGTTAACTATGCTATCAGTACTTTCTATGAAAAATTGCAACTCGTTTTCGTCGCCATAAAAATCAGGTATGGTTTCGGTGTGAACTTTTTAAAAGTTAGGGGAGTAGTTATTGTTTAATTTAAAATATATGAAACTTTATTAAAATTATTTGGATAAATATTATCGTTAATATTAATTGACTTTAAACTTTCAATTACTAAATCTAGCTCTAAATCAGATCCATGATCACTAAGGGATAGGAACTCAATGTCAAAGGATATAAAAAAATCATATAAAAAAATAAAACTTACACAGTAAGTAACAAAATGAAATGAAAAAATTTTGCAGACTTTTTTTATGCTTTTTCAAGAAGATTCGACAATATTTAGAGGGTGCACAATTGGACCAGTTTTATAAAAGTATGGAAAAAATATGACTTTTTAATGTTAATTACATTTATTGTTAAAAGTATAAAACTCAAACTTAATATTATTAAGATTATTGGGAAATAGATAGTTCGCTTGGTGACGACTTTTCTATGATGCTACACTATCCTCAGCAAAAATTGTTTTTGTTGTTCATCTCTGGCCCATTGGTTAAATTTCTTTATTAGAGCAATTCCTCTTTCTTCAGTATTAAGAACTACCTTAAGAACTTCCACTTGACTTCTTAGAGAATGACTGCAATATTCTGTCACGTTATGGATCCCAAACAATTCAAAGAACATTTTTGTTTTACTAGTGATCAAATGGCTCAGGTCTTTTCCTTTTTATTTGGAGGTTTGGTTTCTAAATATTTAGTCATATTTTCAAACTAATAAGTTTATCCAAAAAAGCTAATCCTACGTTTGTTTCTGACAGATACCACAGGTGTCTCTTAGCAACAGTAAGATCACTTTTTTGTCGTCTATATCTGGGTAACTATTTAAAAGCTGCATCATATCCAAATCATTTTTGGAGCCCATCGGATTACAATTGCTTCGTGCCAAAATCGAACATATATGAGGCTGACAAAATGTGCAACCCTTTCCATTTATTTCATTTTTCGTTGAGGCATATTCAACTCTTTAGTGAAGAGAACAATTTTAAGTGCATAAATTGCTTTTGCCATCCACCTTACTTGATGCAGAGCTTCTGGGATCCTGAAACTGAATTTGTCTTGAAACCAACCTCCTAGGTACAAAAGCGTTAGTTGTAATAACTCTTTGTAGTCTTCTCTTGGATGACTTTCGCCTTTTAGGACATTTCGTAAGTAGTTATTCATTTTTACTCGTTGTTCTTCTATAAAGCCTTGAACGGGACGTTCCTTATCCAGCATTGTCGTTTATGACTTTTTATTAAGTAAAGTCCACATATTTTCGAACTTTCGAAAGATCTGGATTTCAGGACCACTTGATGGTACGTTACAACAATCCTCAAACACTTCTTTTAATATTAGTTCATGAGTGCGATGACGGAAAACCAACCACAACAATGTTCGTCCTAATTCCCTTTTAATTCTGGTACATGCCCCTTAGATCAGTCCTGTATTAGACGATGTAGTATCAAAATACATATCGATGATGTTACTTAGCTCAAATTGGTGCACTACCCGAATAACTACTTCAGCCATCTGCTCACCGGTACCTTTCTGGGCAACAAGAAGTCCAAACAATTGCTCAAAATTTTTGCCAGTCACTAGAATTGCAACTCTATCTTCCAAAGTTTTGACATTCCCATGGGCAACTGAGGGCAACAATTTTCTTTCCCAATGCAAGACCCATGGAGGAGGATTTTTCTTGATTTTCCTTGCCATTTTTCTTCTATTGACCACCCGAGCTTGGTAAACGATAGATGGAGATACGAAAATTTTTGAAACATCGTGGCCAAGGCTCTTTGCAGTTACTACAAAAGAGGTACTTGCTTGCCTACTATAGAATTGTTCTTGATTCCAAGTAGACGTGAGTGTTTGATCCAAAGGTTTTAATCTAGAACTTGAACGTAATTTTTTCTTTGCTGGTGGCAAAAATTCGTCTTCTTCGTCACTAAGTACGGATAATGATGATGAAGATGAGTCTTTCAGTATTACTGTCTTCATTTAAGCTATAGCTCTGTAATGTTTATTCTTATATGAATAATTTTTGTCTTCTTTTGTACATTTAGTTCTTATTTTGAAGACTAAAACCTTGTCTACTCGAGTCATTGATGAACTCATTCGGTCTTCTCTTTGTGATCTAAGAAATGCTTTATCTTCTTCCGATTTCCATCACATTTTGCCGGGAAATGTCAAATAACTCTTCAAGATCACCTTTCCAAATCTACCGTTTCATGTTGGCTTTATTGCTGTTTCTAGATTTCCCTTTACCTAGATTTTGGAATTCTTTGTATAGCTTCTGTATTGCAGCGCGTATATTCTGCTCTGTCTTAATAGGGATACCTGCTTGCCTCCACATTTCCTGTAGTTTAGTACTGGTAGATTTAGCAGCTTCCGAAAGTGTTTCTTTCATATCCTTATGACGGTAAATAAAAACTAATAGTACTTGTTTCTTTGAAAGGAGCCGAGCTGCTAAAAACTCACCACTAGGCACCTTTTCTAGCAACCAAATTCCTCTTTTGGTTCCCATTTTAAAGCTCATTTACCTGCAAAAGATGAAAGAAATACATGTAACGATCAAAGATGACTAGTAGAAAACAAGTCAATATTAGAAATTTCACCAGTTTGTGATAAAAGTGATCAATGTGTGCAACCCCTAAATATTATCCAATCTTTTTGAAATTTAGCATAATATATTTTTTTATCACTCAGACTTAGGGCGTAAGCAAAATCGTATGAAAATAACATCTTTGGAAAAATTAAACATCCTATTACACAGTAACATTTTTCGTTCGCATCGAAGGTCTGGCTGTCGCCCTAATCATTGAAGTCTTCAGTACAGTTCTTTGGTAGCATCACGAAACTTTTCTCGCGATGAAAAGTTCAAAATTAATGCGAAACGTTGAAAGTTCGTAATTGTCACTAAACTATAAAAATATCGAAAGTTATCCACGACGGATTCTTCGTGACAATCTTACTAACTGCGCCAAAAATATAATATGATTTGAAAAATCGTTTTTAAAAATTAATATTTTTTTAATCAAACAGAAATATAATCATTATAATGTCTTTATTTAATGAATGCTTACATCACACAAACTTGAGCTGCCAGCTGGTGGGATTCTAGGAAGTTCAGGGCACCAGTTTCTCTGATATAATTCGGGCTAATGAGGTGTATTCAATGAAAATTAGTAATTTACAAGGCTTTGGATTAGCTATTTTAGTAAATTAGCTTTAAACCAAGACAAAAATACCTCGAAAATTTATAATTACAGTTCATCAAATTTCTAGAGGCTTTCGATGGCTAGACAGAGAAAGCACTACTGACAGGCATCCCGACGGATTTACGCAATGAAAGTACACTCTGCGCATCAAGTATTTCACTATTTCATTCAGACGTAAATGTCAGATGTAAATTTCGCTAAAACATTTCTTTTATTTTCGTTTGTGTTTTTTGCTCATTACAGTTTAATAGAACCTAAGTATGGAGTTTAATAGCAAATTAAGAGGCCGCGTGATTAACAGTCAATCTCGCGAAATAATAGCCAATGTTATAGAGTTTATGAGAAGAGAAGGAAACTTTAATTCACCTTCAATACCATTTAAAAATGTAAATGATCGTGTTGCTGCAGCCACAGGAGTATCTAAAAACATTGTCGTCCGCATTTCTGGAGAGAAAAAAAGAATCGATAACCGTGAGATATCGGAATTTTCATCACCAAGAAAAACCATTAAAAAACCAAAAACAGTTAATGATATAGATGAAGCTGCACAAGAATCAAATTTTATTTTTTTATTATTAGATAGCTATTTTTGTTTCTGAGTTGTGTTCATTTACAGGCTCAATTTTTTTCCGTTTCTCCTTTTTGATTTTATATGGGGTTTCAAGTTGATTTTGACTTATTTCGACGTAAATCACAACAACACACTTTTTTATTAAAACAAACAAGTGTTAAGAGGTATATGTACGTGTAAACTACAATTACAAAAAATTGATATGAAACCCATGAAACCACCAACAAAAATGTAAAGCTAGCTTCCGTACTAGAACATGGTGTCATTCGTCGAGATAATTTATCGTTTTGTTTAATAGATCAAGAAATGTAAATATTCCCCTGTTATTTTTTATAAAATTATAAGAGAAATAAATTTTTTTCTAAATAGTATAGTTTATTATTTTGTAGAAAAACAAAATTTCAAAAATTTTAGTAATGTTTCAGAAACAACCGTTATTAATAATAGGTACCATTTTCCTTAATAAGGTAGAAATAAAATATAAACTATTTCCACGATTTACAAAGGCCTACAAAAAAATTATAGGTATTTTCCGCTATCCTATAAAATTTATATTTTCTGACTCAATTTCAAAAGTTTGAAGGAATTCCAAAACACCTTTTATGGCATAATAATTATTTTCTACATACTATCTTTAGCTGCTTTTAAAAACGTTCTAAGAAAGTCCAATCAGACCAATTTAATCCCTAAACTATTCCACACTTTTAAAATTTAATTACCTAAAAATATTAAAAACTATTTAAAATAACTTGTTTAGCAGACTGTACAATAGCTATCTTAGTCACACGTAGCGCGTTCTCTGTCTGGGCGTCGATCACCTCTAGAAATTTGATGAACTGTACCAATTATTTTTAAAAAATATATAAAAGAATCTATCAGTAGTCGCCCAACACAACTATTTTTAAACTATCAAAACGGTAAATGCAGCACTGCCCAAAGAATTGGTTTTAATACATTTTTCAAAATAAGGGAAGATACTGCTGCTTTTTTAAACTATTTTAAATTTTTATGAGTAGGTAAGCGCCAATGGTTGCAAATATTTTTACATGGACAGGTCTAAAGGGAAAAGAAAACAAATATTTTTACATAAGCAGGCTAAAGGAGTAAAGGGATCATATAATTTTTCATGGATAGATTTAAAATGCTCCAAATATTTTTAGATAAATAGGCTTAAGAAATAAGGGGTCCAAATATTTTACATGATCAGGCTTAAAAAGTAAAGGGACCAATTATTATTATAAGAACAAGTTGTAAACCCTAATCAAAAGGCGATATGGAATAATTATAAAAATTAGCACTTGTATCAATCATCACGTGGTTTAACCTAACTAGTGGCAGCGCTTTACAAACCTAAAAATTCAACGTCTTTATATTACTATCGGCTTTTGGTCTTTCGTTCCAAAACAAATCATTTCTCATTTTTTTACGCAACGAGTTTACCTTTGTGGGCCTCAGACTCGATAAGGTGAGAACCACCAATTTAGCGTCTCACAAATTATTTCATTGTTTTTGTAAAAACAAACATGTTTGTTACTATTCTAATTAGAGTATGTCATTGGCTAGAAGATATAGGTGTGAATTTTACAGAAGAGGAATACCTTGTTATATTATTTTCTTAACATACAGATTTTATTATTCCCAATCTTTATGTAGGTAATTAAATACATAAAAAGCTTATAAAGCAGCTGGATCTAGTGAAGTTATTTAATTAAGCAAATATTATAGAGTTGGAAAATTGCAATTAATTTTACGAAAAAACTAATTAGAAAGTGTCAAGAGCAGAATAGCGTTTATTCCAGTTGAATAACATGCATTTTTGTACGACAAAGTAATTTTGTACTGAAAATACATGAACCGTTGTTATAATTAAATTCTTGACAATCAACGGTTTTAGAAAAGGTATTATTTTTATAGGTTTTATTGTTAAATTCTTCAATTGTGTTCCGTTGGTTTATCTCTATCGGATTTAACTATGTACATGGTAGCCCACATTATTCTATATAGACCAAATCGTTTTAAAATAGTTTTAAAGTGGTTGTAAATTAATATTTTAATATGTACTGACACTTTTTTTTAGTTTCTGCTCAAGAGCCAGTAGTGATGTTTATATTTTAATCCCAATTCAGTTCTTTACTTCTTAGTAATATGCTATTTTCGGAGTGCTACAAGGTTCCAATTTATTGTTGTTTTTGTCATTTGTCAATAGTTTGCCAAAAGTGATTAAATACTCGAGGTGTTTACTTTTTGCTGATGATTTTAAAGTTTATAAACAAACTCAAACAGTACGCGATTGGGTTTCTTTGCAAAAAGATATAAACGCTATATGAATTGAGTCAAAAAAGTAAATTTGATTTTAACATTAACAAATGTCGCTATATGACTATTACTTGGCAAAAGTAACCGATTGTATTTGACAACTATCAAATGAATTGTGTATCATTCAAAGAGGTTAGAAAGGGTAGAGGTAACATAGGAAGCATTTCTCGCTGCGCGAATTTTGCCAAAACCGAAAAACTGGGTGGAAGGAGTAGGGAGATGTTCTGGGCCGGACTTAAATATTTGTATTGTAGTACCTAATTTTGGTGGGTAATTAAAAGATGAAAAATTATGAGACGTTTGTTTGACTTTATTTGTTAGCACGATTCATGTATGATGAGGGCAATAACACTTTATCAATATATAACTAGCTAAGGGCCGATTCCACCGTTGTGTCAAACGAAGTTTAAATTATTGAACGAAGATTAAAATGACATTGTTAATGTAAAAATGTCATTTTAAACTCCATTTAGTAATTTAAACATCGTTTTTGTTAATATAAAAATGTCATTTTAATATTCGTTTAGTATTTTAAACTTCGTTTAACAAAACGGTGAAATCGACCCTAAGTAAAAGTTTATAAGTACTTTTTGCTCGAATTACACACAAGATTTTTTCTACGATTACATCAAAATAAAATAAATAACTAATTTTGATTAGAAATGGGTTACCTTTTCGTTCGTTATATTATTTTAAGTTTATTTGACATAGGCCTACTGTTCTAAGAGAAAAAAATGTTTTGGTACTTATACCCTGGTAATTATTTATGATTTAATTATTTACGGAAAATACCGTTCAATGAATTAAAATATTAGAAAGTCAATTAATAGTTATTTATGTAACCAGTTACGAAATGCCTTATTTTGTGTAACGAGTAAATATTTGCAAAACGA